AGAAAGCCGGCTCTTAAAAGAAGACGCGCTACTAAAAACAGCAACGCGAGCTCTTTGCTCGTTGGAAAGAGCATGCAGGCCCCTCATGAGTAGAAGAAGTGGATTTGAATTGTGGAAATTTCCTTGACGACTTCGAGCGCAAGAAGCCAAAAGGGAATCGCTTCGAAGTGATGCAAAGTAATGAGAACCAGTGGTAGACGTTGAGGCCTTCGGTTGATTGACCCTGATCCATAATTGGTAGACCTCGGTCTTTCGAGGTCGGCCCTAGTCTATCGCTAGTCGACCTTCGCCGTTTGAGGTTGGCCCCGGTCTATCATTGGTAGACCTAGGATTTTAATATAATGAAAAAAGGAACCTACATTAAGTTTAAAGGTTTAACGAAGTACATGTATATGTCGAAAACTAAGAAGGCAATGAACGCAAGTACATTCAAGTGAAAAGCCTAAAAAGTGAAAAGAATTTGTTTCGGATGCGCGGCCTTGACTATACGGGATGAGGCTCCGACGAAAGCCGATACTGAGTGATCCAAGAGTATGTGTAGTCGGAGTTTTACAAAGATTTCATGCAAATTGGTGGAATCCGACCCTCCTTACAGCCTGGAAAACAGACGACTACGCAGCGTGTTCGGGGAAGGAGTCGGAAGAAGGGGTCGAACAGGATGTCGACGTCGAATCGGCCGTTATTCATTCCTTTCGAGATCATGTCAGCGACCCCTCGCCACGCCCAAGTTCACAACCACGACATTTCTTCCGCGCATTATTGTACGGCGAGAGGAAGGAGCTGGCGCGCGGTTAGTCTCCAGAGATCCACAGGCAGTGGAATGCTCCCAAAATGCTTGTCTGTGGTCTTCGTCGAAGCGCATGTAGGCCGCCTCCAGTTCCGCAAACCAGCCCTCATGCTGGTACGATACAGGTGGGGTCGAGCGAGACTTGTGCTGACAGCCATGTTCGGGTGACTAGGAGGGTCTGAATCATTGAAGCGCTGACCAGTGACGGTCTTCACTTGGAAGGTCGATCTACTTTCCCGTCCGGGAGACTAGACCAGCCCTAAAGCAGCTCCAGGCGGTTGTCTAAGTCACTAGGGTCATCGTCACGGTACTAAACGAGTTGACCAGGTCGACCGATCAAGGCGCCACTTCCGCGGCAGTGCACGATTTTACTTGCATATGCCTAGGGATAACGTTCATCTTCAGAAGCGTGTACACCTCAGCTGGATAGGAGTCTGCCTTCGCGACCGTAACGAGGCCTCTCTTGTCCAAAACTAATTTTGTCTCCGAGTCGGAGGTCCCGAACATGGCCTGGATGAACGATGGACTCGGGAGAGCAACAGGTCGTGGGACTTAAGCGGTCGAGGCAGCTAGGACTGATTGACTTGTAGATGCGAAGCGTCAACTTAAAGACCGCGACCGAGCCAGGGTCGTACGGACCACCTCGCTATCTTCACTTGCCGTATCGTCATCCAGACCAGGCGAAGAAACGGAAGGAAGATCTCGAGAGGTCCAAGGCTTAAGAGTCGACGAAGCTTGAGTGCTGGTCGCAATCGACTTGACAGCCTTAATGGTCGCTTAAGATTGCGTTCGCTGAGGTTGTTTACCTAACGACGATGCAGTAGCACCACGGAGGCAGCCACTGGGTGGATCACAAAATCCTAGAGCGGATTCAACGCATAGTCCGCATGCTCTAGCTCCGCCGTCAGGAGAAAGTACCGGCTCTGGCAGATGTTGACCTGCCATGTCAAGAGCTCCATTAGTGTTTTCATAAAGGCTTCCTAACAGTGGACCACACGATTATTGGTGGTCGACCTCTAAGAATTGAGATCGAGAGTCCACCAACAAAGGACTAAGATCAACCTCCAGTAACTGAAGCATACTGACAAAAGACCAATGTCGAGTATCTCTCTCTCGAGGTGCTCGCATTTGGCTGTCCAGTAGGCGGAAGGGAAGAAGTGTGGCCCTCTGCGCTCCATGAATCAATCCTACACATAATCGTAAACTGCATTAAGCTCGTCCAATGTTGGTCAGGTCACAGTCAAAGGCCGTTGTTTAACCCGTAACCATAAACAGGAAGCACTGATATCCGAGGCGCCGTCGCTGCCCCATCATTAACGCTAGATCTATCCAAATTTTTATGTTTAGTGTTTTATCAAAAAAAGTCGGCAAAGTATGATCCTTGTTTACATATGTCAGCATTCCATTTGGGTGACAGGACGAAATCGACCCTTTCGGATTTTTTTTTTCGCTTTTGTAACAAGTACTAAGCTGGCCTGGGCTCAATTCACTATTTCGCATTTGTGTGGTTGAGTAGACATCTCAACCAGGTTGGCAGTCACTCTTTCATTCTCGTATGATATATACGTATGCATAATTGGCGTTTGCTTGTAGCCATCCCCATTGTCATAACAGTCTACACTGTATGCGTCAGATATCACATGTCTGTCTATCTTTAGCTAGAAGACCGACAGCAGATACCCATACATACGCAGACACCCATACATACGCAGACACAGAATGCCCGGAATAGGGGAAAAATACATCGGCCATGTCGATTTCAGGTGTGTAAGACACCACATCCGTGTGTGACAACAGGCAGCTGAGTTGCGGTAAAGATTGGACACTGGGGGGTATCGATCCCCCTACCTCCCGCATGCGAAGCGGGCGCTCTACCATTTGAGCTAAGCGCCCGTGCATTGCATGAAGAGCGCATAATCCAAACAGTCCATTTATATCACACGAATTACACAATACAACATCAAACATCGCAACACCGTACAACACTCCATACGAAACGCTTTTCATACAAACAAACCAATACCAAGACGTGCACCGCATGTACGTACATACCCATCGGTGACCTCTAAGCGCTCCCCACACCTGGCGCTGTACCGCTTTTCAATGCTCTCTCTCTTATTATCACGAATACGCAAATCGCCAAGTCTCATTCACAGAGCTGCCAAGGTATTGGCCATAGTAGTATGCGACGCGATGAGCCACGGGAAGGATTCATCGTCGCAAGGATTGAAAGCTTTTTTGATCGGGATGAGACATTATGTCATCACCGTACCATTAACATAATGAAACAGCCAAAAACTTTGTATTCACACGGTTGTTAGGTTCGATTAACCACCGTTATTGATATCATTCATTCGGTGGTCTCGTACCATATACATATATACTTTGTCTTTGCTTAAAGCCATTGTGTGGAGTGGGTTCTCAACATTGCGCAATGAGACCCCAAGCCACTTATTGTGCCGGAATACCGACTGTCGGAGGGGGTACTCCGATGTCGCGTTTAGAACTTCTCTTACCATTTGTACCCGTCGTCTGGCGGGTTGCACTCGTCGGAGGACTTGGTTGAGATGCGATTTCGGCTTTGAGAGAGGTCGACCTTGGGGTGCTTCGAGTAGGTATACTTTATTCGGTAGGCGGGTAGGTGGCCACTAGGTCGACTAGGTCGAGGGTGGACTTATAACCAAATTATTCAGGGGGGATTCTCAGCCCTGGCCTTTTCCTTGATATCTCAGGGGTGTTAACCGCCTGGCCTTTACTTGCTCCCAAACCACTACGATAGGGAGACCGCTTCCGATAGCGGGTTATTGGGGGGTGCTACATAGACGAACCCACAGGCCAAATGTATCCTGGGGCTCTATTCACACGGGCCTTACCACACGACTGCTCTTCGACGGGGGGGCCAAAGTATATCACTTCCCGAACAGATGGGTAGACTTGTAAGTACCTTGGATCACGACGGAGGCGTGCTATGTAGATCGCAAATGGAGTAGTGTTTAGTATAGTTCTATCTTTTAACTTCTTTACTCTATCCTTACCCCCGAGACCGGATTCTTGATTCTGCTTGACTAGGGTATTATCGACCGAGAGGCCGGATCAAAGATCTATCGATAGGACCGAGAGGTCCATTGATGAAGGGCCAAAGTCGACCTGCAGGGACCAGAGCCGAGAGTCCATCGACCGAAGGGCCTAGGTCTATCATTGTGAAAGACCGAGGTCTACCAATGATAGACCAGGGTCGACCTTGAAGGACCGGTGTTCACCTTGAGGACCGCGGTCAAATCTTATGAATCGTGGCTAACTGGCACGTCTTGACCGTACATTCTTGTTATCCAACAGTCGTTCCCTTTAGCGCCCCTTCTCTCTGTCCCTTACCCAACGGTCGCTCCTCCTTGGCTAGTCCCTTTCTCTTTGACCTACCGGTCCTCTGACCTACTAGTTTTTGAACGCTTCACCACAGGCTCTTAGTGAGGACAGCATAAGAGATAAACTTCATTTTTTTCACGGAAAAATGTTTTAGCAACAAATGCTATACAGAGCAGATTTATAAATTATTTTCAATGTTCATCTTCAATGTAGCAGTGCTGCTGTAACAATGCTACTCATGCACCAAGTGCAGAGGCCGACAAGTATAAAGAGCTAATGCGTCTTAAATTTCTTAATCTGCCCAAGGCTAGCTTCACAAGCTTATGCCTGTCAAGCAAACGACCACGTCTCCAAGAGACCAGTATCAAAACTACAATTTTTATCCATAAGGAATAGAACGCTCTAGCACTTGTGCTATTCAGAGCAGGTTCGAAACTAATTTATTCAGTGTTCAACGTCAAGCAACTAATTTAGAAGCACCTACTCTATACTTAGTGCTAGTAACTATTTATCTGGCCTTGTAGCCTAATGATATATAAATATGTATAATTACTACACTCAACTAAGTATAGTAACCACGTGGCTGTCTACCACGATGCGACCCTTTGTACCTAAAGTACGGTCAAATTAAGTTACTACTGAACCCAAAGTGCGACCACACCACAATGGTTATTCTGGTGTGTATTTAAATTACAGTTTTATCAAGGGTTCGGTTGCCCATCGCGTAAATGTCAAAAACTTTTTCACTAATCAAATTCGAGACATTGATTTTCACGGATTTTATTCGTGTGCAAATAGTATTTCGCCTTTAATTTCTTTAATCCGAATTCTTGATTTGACTACCCCTAGACTACTTTTCGGCGTCCAAGGGTTCGTGCACGCGGTGAACATCTACGAGCCAGTGTCCTAGCTGCTTGACGCACGATGCTAAGACGTCATCTTCTTTAATAATAGTCTGGTCCACATTCAAGTTCATGTCGTAATCGACTTTCGAAGGCGGCTGAAGGAACCCACTAAACGGCACCAAGTTTTCTCCATCCTTTGCTGATAAACCAGCATTCGTTGATGCACAGCCAAATAAGTCCGTTGCATGTTTCTTCTGGTCAACCAACTCATGACTGTCCACCACGGCAGTCGACAAATCCACCTTTTTTTTCTGCTGCTCGTAAATCATGCGCTCCATCGTGCCTGTGCTCACAAGCCTGTATACGTGCACAGTTTTAGCCTGACCGATGCGATGTGAGCGACACATTGACTGAATGCGGCAATATAACACAAGTAGTAAGTACCCCATTACTGCAGCAACTGACATTGGCATCGCTACCGTTACCTGATGGTCATTTGAAGGATTCCAGCTAACGTCGAATAGCACCAGGCGGTTTGCGGCGTGAAGATTAATGCCCTCAGCACCAGCGCGCGTAGATACCAATAGCACCTTGACTGGAGAATCTGCTGAGCTAAATCGCTTGTATAAAACACAACAAGAGGGTTAGCTGATGGCTATAACGGCATTTGATTGAATAGAAGAGATACCTGGATGTACTCCATGCGTTTGGCACCACTAGTACTGCCGTCAATCTGCAAAAACCACTCATTTGTAGTAACACTTGACACCGGCGTACTTGTACAAGAAGCCGCACGCTTACCCAAGCTGCTACTTTCTGTCTGGTTTCGACGCTTGCGCAAAATTCCAGCTGGGTCGCGATTTGGGCGCAGAGCAGTTCGGCGGCGCATCAATTTTACTATTGTACCGTCTTCCATACTCTTGCACGCCTTTGCTACGTCGTCCGCAGCTAGTGATGGACTAAAGTTGCTTGCACGCAAGAAGGTAGAAATGACCTTTAGCGTAGGTATGCTCTGAGAAAACACAACAACCTTGTCGCCACAGAGAATGCTATGTTTAACAATGCTTAAGAGCACGACCATTTTACCACTGTGCTCCGGTTTTTCTGCTTGATATAAAGTTGTCATTTCTTGCCCAATTTTATTAAATATTGCGGAGCGTGCCCATTCTAAGGACTTTTGGATGTTCGTGAGGTTCTGTCGCTTCTTACGCCTTCGCGCTACAACAGCCTGCTGTTTTTCATGTAAACGCTCTTCGCTCTCCCACACCCACCCATTCGAGACGTCTAAACCGAGCAGTGTACTGTTAGATTCGTCTTCCTCCTCGTTTTGCAGCGCGTTTGCACCGTCTTTAAAAGGATGGAGCTTTGAATAAATAATGTCCGGATGATTCATTACTTGAAGCAGTGTGGCGTAAGCAGTCAAAAGATCAGCAGTTACCCCGTTGCCATCGCTGTAATAGTCAAGGAAATCGCAGTATAATTGATGCTGTACTGGAGAAAGCTTGCAATACAAAATCCACTCCAATTTGGGCGGTAGCTGAGAGCGAAGCAATGCTTTGCCTCGACGTAGCACGACACTTTGCAGCAGCTCAATGAGCTCGTTTGAACGTGCTCTATTTCTTTCTAAGATTGGCCTCTCGTACCTTGCCCGAAAATTATCGTAGCTGCCCAAAAAACCTTCCCGCGCAAAATTGACCATGCAATAATACTCGGAAAGCGAGTTCTGCAAGGGATAACCTGTGAGCACTAAGCGTCGAGGAGATTGAATTTGAGCCACGCTCTGACACAGCAACGAGCTTGGGTCCTTCATTCGATGCCCTTCATCCATAACGACAAGATCTGCCCCTGGAGCGCATAGCAGATGCTGATATTCTCGTGCAGTACGCTGCACCTGGAGTGTCTCCTGTGCAGAAGTGCTGGTAATTTCCATTGTAGCGGAAACCATACGTGAGCACACCCGGACGGGTGCATCACGCTCAGAAGCATAGCTTACAGGCAAAGTTGTTGGATTCAATAGCCCACGAAACATCTCGTATCCCATCAACATGACGCCACCAGTGCGCTTCCAGCGTCTAAGCAGTCGCAGTCGGCCCGCATTGGTGCTCTTTACCGAAGAAGTATCAAACGTGAGAATTGGACAGCGCGCACGTGCATCAGTGCCCAACCATTTTTGAAACTCAGTCTCCCAGTTGGACAAACAAATGGCTGGGCATAGGACTAGCACGGTCGCCGGTGATTTCTCATTGTTGTCACGTTTGTCTTGATCGTGTGATTTTTCCGACTTGGATTCAATTGATGCACAAATACCCATATTATTTGCATTGCGTTGCGTTCGCACGTCATTTTCATCAATTATGAAGGAATAAATAACCGTGATCACTTGTAACGTCTTTCCGAGCCCCATGTAGTCAGCCAGAATACACCCGCGACTGGCAGCGAGGTGAGAGTGTAAGAAATAAACACCTTCTATTTGGTGAGGTTTTAGCAACGGCTTAATCTCTTTCGCTATCCACAAGATGCCGTCACCTTGAACTTTACATTTGGTCGAAGGTGCATCCAGTCGAACGCGGTCATATATGTCTGTTTCCTCGTTGACACTTACTAACTTATGTTCAGAAGATCTTGGCCTTGCATTATTGCCGCTTGTGGTCTCATCTTTCATAGGACAAATACACGGCAGCATCATGCAGCTTACACACTGCGACGTAGCGTCGGATGCGAATAGCTGCCGTAGCTTGAGCTTTAGCGCTTGGGATTTACTAAACTTGGTAACATTCTCATCACCTGTTTCTTTCAAAAAATCCACAGCCGAATCATCGTCACCTACGCAAATACATGGCAAGAAATCACACGTGCATTTGTTGTCAGTCATGTCTATGACAAAGATATTAAGCTAGTGACACTACTATGCGTTAGTAACCAGGTGGTCACTAAACAGAGTAACGTCACTAGCTAAAAGCGGTGGATGAGATTTATCCATCCAGTGCGGCAGATTTAATATGACTTTGATACATTTATAATAGGTACTACCGCCAATACCTCGGCCTTGCATACTCGCGAATCTCGTATCGTGTGAGCTATGGAATAATAGTACAAGTAATATGATGGATTGTATAAATATGTTTTGTGAAGCCGATTTAGTCGATGTTATCGTGTGCTATGGAATGAACAAACGAGACAGGGTAAGGCATGCAAAAGATGAGGAGTGTGATCAGTATTAGTCTGTGCGCGTCTAAGCTGCAATATGGAAGATAATATATTTAATGATATCAGTAGTTTAATCACAGCTACGGAATCGGTATCAGAATTGACAACCTACTGTGCAAATTCAACGCGGATTGAGCTGGAAACATTTCTGTCGCGGTTAAATGTATCATGTGCCTTTGAATTAGTACGTGCGGTTAAAGCATGGCAGCAAGAAACAGTAAACATGGAGCATTTTGAGGTCTAGCAGATACATAGCAATCCACTTAACTGTCTAAGAAGGCTAATGCACCCTTTGTGGTGCAAATATTTGGGCTGCAAGGTAGCAGATCAGGATCAAATGTTTAAAAAGAATTGTAAGGTCAAGAACGTGTACAAATAGTTAGCAAATAAATCATGTACCATCACATTGTGATGTGAATACGAGAATATTGGCAGACTGTTTTGAATACCAAGCTATTTGCGCTGTTAGCAGATCTAATGTAACCAAGATATTACAGGAATCATGCTACAAGGCCTCCAAATGATGCCTTCGGGCTTTTTTAATAACCTGTAAAAGACACGATGTAAACGAGTTACGTACTTGCGCATTCTTGTGCTATGTTTTATTACGAGCTACGAAGAGTGCGTCGTGGACCCTGGTCGGGAGCGAAAGAAGCCTATTTTCAATGCTCAGGAACGCATCGGAGGTAATTATATATTTATAGTACTATTTGCATCTGTTGGTCGATTTGCCGAAGTAGACAAATGTACACTGCAGTACATATGAATTATTCTATTGCCGCCCAAAGACACATTCATCGAAGTTGAAATAATACCGACAAATGCTGATCATAGCACATGTGCAAGCCCTTCGTCAACCTCGAAGAGTCTGAACTTTGAGCTTTGTTGACGCAGCTCCTGTCCAATTTAACATATCTTTATGCTTTTATTGTGTCCATATGATCGTTATGCTATCGGTGGCACGATAAGACCAGACACTCAGGAAGTTGGTATACTTTTACAATTTCGCGTGTCATGCAAAGAACAGATGTGTTCAATTGACGTATCATAATTCAAGCGCTGAACAAGGCGCAGTCACGTGGGAAGTAAACGTATTTGGCCGCTCTAGACTCCGTACCGCTCGCTATGCGCTCTCCCTGTCGACGCCAAATGCGCAGCCTCCTGGCTCTAGCGCTCTTTGCAGAACACGCCATGTTTTTATCGCGGTGTTGGTTGTCACGTGAACAGGAGAGGTCATGAACTAAGTTTTTCTTGAACTTACCTGCTTGTTAATTTATATCGTCATAATTTTAATCTTATATATTAAACTTTTACTTTTTATAATAACTTGATCCACGTTCATTTCTTGTAGATTTAAACTCGCAAACCAGTATAAATAAACAAAATATGGGCGCCTTACGCGGCGGCGACAAACCCAAGAAGCATAAGGACCGTGGTGTAAAGTTCAATGAGAAGCACACACTGAAGTATGGCCTGTCCGTATGCAGTCGAAACGCCAAGACGGACGTGGTAGAGACCGTAATGTGTAGATTTTGCGTAGCTTTTGGCAAAGAGTCGGCGGCCGACGCGACCCGTAAACGGCGTGCAACGGCCAATATCAAGTACTTTCGACAACCATTTCGCGCCGATCACTACCTTTCACATTTAGAGATCAATCACAAGCACAAATGGACTGAGTACGAGCAATTGTCTAGCCCCGAGAAAGAATTATTTCTTGGAGTGCCCGTGGAGGGGTCCACCATTAATCCACCAGCAATTGTGCAACCATTAAGTCACGCCCAGAATAACTATAACGGCGATGCAGAAATTATATTGAAAACAGTGGTTCCAGCCGTGCAGCGTGTGGTGCCCGTGCACCTGTCAGTCTCAGAAGTTGAGAAACCGGTGGTAGATAAGCTTCTGGGTGACATTTTTTTCAGCGCTAGTGATGAAAACGGGTTGCCGAAGAAGTTGGCGCTGGATGTTTTCCATCACAAAGCGACTTTAGAAAATTACGAAATTGTTATTAAGAACCAGCGGCTATATGACCTAGCCATTAAGTTCGTGGCATGTGGCGCGTCCTTCCGTCTAGCTTCGCGCATGGTACAGTGCACAAGAGAAGAAACTAAAATGGTTTGCTATGGTGGTTGTTCAGAGCACATTGTAGCAGGCTATGTCCGTGCAGTTATAGCCAGCAACCTGCAGAAGATTGCGCTAATGATGCGTTGTTCGTGGGCGTTTGCGATAGCAACAGACGCAACTGTTCATCAAGGCACATCGTATTTGGATATTCGTGTGCGTTTCTGGCAGAATGGCGCTTTGCAAGACTTTCATCTTTGTACTCTGCCCGCGTTCGATCAGCACCCCGCTCAATCCAATATGGACCGCCTTGAAAAACTCTTCGATGTTATGGATTCACAATGGCGAAGCAAACTGCTTGGAGCAACTACCAACGGCAGCATTAACGCAGGACGCAATACTGGAATGACGGGTAGCCAACAGAGACTTTTAATTCAGCTTACGACACTTGTGAACAAGCCTGCTTTTTATCTAATCTGGTCTGGTGTTCACCAATTGGAGTTTGTCGTCAAATACTGTGTCTCTTCGTTTTGCCAAAAAGCATTCTACGATGAATTAGTGTCAGTTCTTGCAACGCTGCGGCATGACCAACGGAGCTCTGGCCAAGAGAGAATGCTGTGTCCTTTTGTCAATGAGATTATTCCTGATGTCATGGCTGCGTTTTTGGTTACACGAGGCTTCACCGGAAGGTTGATGGATGCACTCAAGTGGCTGATGGAGCGCCGTAAAACCATTGTCCAACGGCTGCAAACTACATCTCCCTCATCCGTGCCATCTGCTTCTTGGTGGGTGTGTGTAGCCGTTGCGTACCGTGTTATGGTTGAGATTGCGGATTTTATGCAGAAATTGCTGAGCTTAGAGAATGGAGCGAATTCTATAGGCGAAGAGGTGCAGGAATTGTGCAAGTTAGCATTGATTTTGGTGGATGTCGTTGGAGCTCGACGAGACTTGTGGGAGTCACTCGACTCCGATAAAGCTTGTGCCTCAGGATCTTTCCAATTAGCGTTTCAGAACGCGCAGCATTTTATCCAGAATGAGGGTGGTGCGCTGGCTATTGAGATGTTTGACACGCTTCGAGGAGTTGAGCGACTACACATCATTAAATCGGTAGCACACTTTGCAGTAGCCCTGATTGCTGAAGTTAGTATGATTGCTCAAGAGGGTCGGCACTTTTGCGCTGAAAATATTGGCGTGGTTGTGAGTCCGCCAACTGTGCTGCCCGTCAAATTGTGTAAAGTGGGAGAAGAAGCCTTTTTTAAGATTGTTAGCGAGCAGGAGCCGCGGTTGCGTGAAACCTTTTCGGACAAAGAGATCAAGACCATTCGGAGTGAGTACGATGAGTTTGTGCTGGCAGTGGACCGTGATCCTAATCTTGGCGGTGTACTGAAAAAGCATGACTGTGACACGGACATTTCGTTTGCCTGGTCCTGTGTTGATGGCAGATTCCGCATGTTGCAGGAGTTTATTGGTGGGCTTGCGTCTGTAGTTCCTGACATGGCCGCAAGTACTCTATCAGCGTGCTTGGCCACCTTGAACTGGGAGAAGCCAGACTTTCGTCAGACGATGGTCGACTTTGCGCTCGAGGGTATCTTGCATGCCAAGCAGAAGATGAAGGTGGAGCTGGTGGATGTACAATGCTTGCATTCTACAGCGTCGTGTCTCACTGCCGACGAGAGTGTGCCAGGGTGCGTGTGCGCCAGGCACTCTCGACGTGACTGATTTGTCTTCCTCTTCTGCACACTCGATCGCAACAACGGCCTCAGCATCTTTCAACGCCAGCTTGGAAGGCATGCCTGTTGGCACCATAATAGCGCAAGATATTGCGAATTATTCTGGTGTTCCCTTGGTAATGTCCAAGACGGGAGGGCTAGCATCCACAGGCAGCTCCGTTAGCAACAGCATTGGCACTGCTTCCGATCATGGAAACATGTTTATTTAGAAAGCATAAGTAAAATAGTATAAATCTACTGAAATTTCTCGTCTTCCGCAATGAAAACAGAATAGCGTCGACAAACTTGACACTGCTGTACTGTGCGTTGCTGCGCATGTGTAGAGGCATTACTGGTACTAGCTGCTACCGCGCAAGGTCTTGTCAGCTCTTGTAGGAATTGCAGCGCACTGTTGCGGCGTACGGTCTATTCATCACTGTTACGGCGACGAATTACGCGTAGTCGCTGCCTGTTCATCATAGGTGAGCGCGGCATTGTGACGAACATGATACGGCAACGGCAGTGAGAATCGAAACACAGAGAAGTCCGCAAGTCTAAGGTATCTCGAGGCACGACACACCGATGAGCAGGAAAAGATTTTGCTGAACAAAAGCAGCACCCATTTTTTAATTCGAGGCGTAAATGCTCAAGTAAATTATTGGCGTGACTTTATTTTACCCGGTTTTTGCGTTGATACTATTGACTTATGTAACTCGGTAGTAAAAATACACACGTCTAATGGACCTCACACCCTCAGCCATATTCGCTGACTCATAAAAAATGACGTAGGCATTAACAGTGGCACTATCAACAAAGAACCAATTTACACAAAAAAATTGATACCAACATACAGCCCACACGACATTTCCTTTTAGTTTTAAAAGAGCTCTTTATACCGCCATGCGTACCCCCATTTAATTGCTAGCTCTGGTGCTGAGCATTTGCATTCATGCCTGTCGTAAATGCAAACGGCACTTTGGCCAGGTTCTGCATGTTTTTCCTCCAGTTCTCCGTCATGTCGCTCATCTTGCCTTCCATTTCAGCAATCTTTCCCGTAGGTTTGCGTTGCATGCCAAGTGTCTCCAAATACCCAATCTGCTCACTCTTCTTGAGCCCTTTCATACTCATGATGCTTTGGAAATCTTCAGCACTACCGTCCGGCCACATGATCTTAAAACTTTCGACCAGCATTTCATTTGGAGTGCCAATAAGCTTCAGTACGTTTTCCACCTTCGCGATCTCGTTAGTGACAAATTTCGTGTAGCGCGACGGTACTGTTGCTGTGCTCGTCGACTTGGACGGAAACACACTCTTGTCGAGCACTGGCAATTGGAGGAAGAGTGTTTTGAGCGCGTACACATCAAGTAGCAGCTGCTGAGTTGCTACCTGATTTACCTTTCGGCACTTCATCACGGCCTGCAGGATCTTGGGCACAAACGAGGCAGCAAATTTGTCGCAAAAGTTCGTAAAATACAATTTAGACAGCATTTGGCGCAGCACCGGCACAAATGCCCGCAGCTTCTCACCCATTTGCATCACGTACATGCTTTCGTCACCCACAGTATCCCATGCTCGCCAATTTGCTTTGTAAAGTGTCACTAGTTCATCGTCCAACAGCGTTTCCAATCCAGTCACGATGCACTTCATTGCGGCAGCACCCACATCGTGAAATGTATTAATTTCTTGGGAAAGCATTATAGCTTCGCTGAATGTCTTATCTATCGTGGCACGAATTACTTCTTCTAAAGACGAAAGGGTCTCAGCGCAGTACTCTGCTGTATTAATCACAAAACAAAGCTCTTCTTCCTGTTTGTCGCAAAGCCTTACCTTGGTACTTGCACTACTGCTCAAGGAATCTAGACGTCCAGTTAATGTGCATGGAATTTTTTCAAAAGACGTTGCGCATAGAGCTTGAAGCAATATTTGAATTCGTTTTGGAGATCAAATAAGGTCTGTCCGTTCGTTAATGCCGTACACCGCTTGATTGAATTGCGGATGTAGGCAAACATGTTCATCGAGCTCGAAAATACGGGCAGCTGGCCATTTCGTTCCATAAGGTCTGTGCTCATTACTTCATTGATCATCTGTTCCATATTCTTGCGCTCCAGCGCAACATAAGCTGTCATGAATGGATCAAATGAACGAGAGACAATTCCTCGAATTGGTGGTAGACGTTCGCTTTTGTCGCCTGAGAACGCGCCATTTCCCTCATTCTCTTCTTTTTGGGCCTTAATTTTAGCTTCACGTCTTTTCCGCCAATATTTCCTTTTAATACCTTCAGTAGAATATAAATCAATAATCTCGCCGTTGTCACCCAGCTCTGTTTCCTCTTGTTCATCATCTTCTTTATCACATTCAAACCTCTGGGCTGTGTCGCGCTCAAACATGATCGTACGCTGAAGCAGCTTAAGCAATAATGTCACGTCCATTTTGTCCGGAGTATGCACCCCAATTTGAACGAGCAAAATGTGCGCGCGTACGCTCGCAAAATTGGATACAGATTCTTCTGGCCATTTGCCAATGCTTCGGAAATACAGCGTTCAAGCGATGGTCTATACCAGCAAAAAAATTGTTAAACCACGTATATCGTGCCTCTGCTTGCTGCAAGCCAGCGCACTCGCCACCCTCGCCGTATTGTCTCTCATACGACAACAACTGCATATCACAAAACAAATGGATAAGTTTTTCGCGGGTTGCTTTGCCTAATGCATCCACAATGGCACATGCCGCCGAAAGGTTAGCATATACAGCCTTCTGCTCTTCTTCTGTTGTAAAGTTTTTTTCCAACAACTCCATCGGTCCAATCGATAAAAAGTCAGCAAAAACCTGTCCTATGAGCTCTTCCTGCAGCGTGCGCACTGTTTTATGAAGTTCAATAATCTTGCTGACATTAGTATAGCCATCAAAGTGTGTAAACAATTGGTTAACTGCTTCAAGAAGGGAAGCAGTCTCGAGGTAGTTGCGCTGCGAGGACATAAACTCGAGCTGGTCCACTGCGTTAACCAGCATATGTAATCGCTTTAGCGCTGTAAGCGTAGTTTGCAGATTACGCTTGGCGTAATCGAGCTGTTTGATGTCGCGACATATTGTCTTTACCATAACCTCTGACTGCGTTGCCTTTTCTTGAATGTCATGAATGTTTTGAAAGAGCTGTTTGGTTGCCATTTTGGCTTTTTTTAAATCCACAAGCGCCTGGTGGGCTGCCAGACTCTGGTCCTGCGATGCCTGTGAAAGCGAGTCATCCAGCTCTTTCATACGCCCACGAAGTCGACTGACGAAGTCATTAATATCACTTAAGCTTTTTTCGTCCGGGAAGTTGCGGTTAATGAATTCACGCGCATCGAACGCTGGTCGATCCAGCATATCATCCGAGGGCAAAACCTTATCGAGACAACAAAGTATCAATGAGATTATTTAGAAGCAAAGCAAAACAAACAAGCAGATAAATTACCTCGGCTAACAGTATTTCCACATTATGTGGGAGCTTTAACGCGCTGCTCTTGCTGTCGCTGGGTCTGCCCGTGGATGTCAAGTTGCGGCTCAGATATTGCTCCATAACGTTTTGCAATTATAAATGACGAATGATAGGATTTAGTTAAACATAGATGTAATACCGTTTAAATAACTTTTATATTAGAATTAAGATTTCGCATCAATTTCAGCCATTTATACAAGCGATCAACGCATTTGTCGTAGAGCCACACGTAATAAAGTATTATTGCCCCAGGTGGACTACTCAGCTCATTGATTATACAACTTTTAATATTGCAAGCGTTGAACTTTAAAGTGTATGAAAGTAGTAGAATGCTTGCACGCGTCTTCAAGCAGATTGCCTTGAAAGTTTTGCCAATATATTGTCTAAGCTTACGTAACACTCAACACGTTGTCTTGTCTTTACAAATGTCAAAGTATTATATAGACCTTATGCTTTTCAGAAATCATTTCGGCCTGCCACTTATAATTATTAGTCTGATGAATCTGTTTTGGTTGACTGTAGTCAAGCGAGAGAATAGAAAGCTAAGTTTTATTGTGAAGCAGCAAATTGCGCGCAGATGTTGCATCTGCAAGAGCACAGGCCATTTAATAGCAAATGCCCTGCAATAAAGGCATATTTGGCATCGAAAGGCCGACGCCCATGGGTTAACCCTCTGGTTAGCTGCGGGGAAACGGTGGAACCCAGTAGGCGCGGGGCGCCCTACTGGGGAAGAACTGAATTTTGTTGAACCTCTAAGAGGTAGAATATAGCGGGGCTGAGTTCCAAAGAGCCATGAACCGTAGCAGAGCTTATGTAGAAAAGTTATTAATGCACCAAGCGCAGAGAAAGACATGCTCAAAAAAAGCTTTTACGTCTTAGGGTTCCTAACCCTCCCAAAGCTAGCTTTACAAGCCTTTTCCTTTTGGTGTAAATGTGGTAAGCAATTAAGAACTGGTAGGTCAGAGGACCGGTAGGTTAAAGAGACAGGGACTAGCCAAGGAGGAGCGACCGTTGGGTAAGGGACAGAGAGAAGGGGCGCTAAAGGGAACGACTGTTGGATAACAAGAATGCACGGTCAAAACGTGCCAGTTAGCCACGATTCATAAGATTTGACCGCGGTCCTCAAGGTGAACACCGGTCCTTCAAGGTCGACCCTGGTCTATCATTGGTAGACCTCAGTCTTTCACAATGATAGACCTAGGCCCTTCGGTCGATGGACTCTCGGCTCTGGTCCCTGCAGGTCGACTTTGGCCCTTCATCAATGGACCTCTCGGTCCTTAGTCGATAGACCTTGGTCCTTCGATCTCCGGCCTCTCGGTCGATAATACCCTAGTCAAGCAGAATCAAGAATCCGGTCTCGGGGGTAAGGATAGAGTAAAGAAGTTAAAAGATAGAACTATACTAAACACTACTCCATTTGCGATCTACATAGCACGCCTCCGTCGTGCTTCCAAGGTACTTACAAGTCTACCCATCTGTTCGGGAAGGGGTACATTTTGGCCCCCCTGTCGAAGAGCAGTCGTGTGGTAAGGCCCGTGTGAATAGAGCCCCAGGATACATTTGGCCTGTGGGTTCATCTATGTAGCACCCCCCAATAACCCGCTATCGGAAGCGGTCTCCCTACCGTAGTGGTTCGGGAGCAAGTAAAGGCCAGGCGGTTAACACCCCTGAGATATCAAGGAAAAGGCCAGGGCTGAGAATCCCCCCTGAATAATTTGGTTATAAGTCCACCCTCGACCTAGTTGACCTAGTGGCCACCTACCCGCCTACCGAATGAAGTATACCTGCACCCCAAGGTCGACCTCTCTCAAGGCCGACATCGCATCTCAACCAAGTCCTCAGACGAGTGCAACCCGCCAGACGACGGGTACAAATGGTAAGAGAAGTTCTATACGCGACATCAGGGTACCCCCTCCGACAGTCGGGATTCCGGCACAATAAGTGGCTTGAGGTCTCATTGCGCAGTTTTAACAACACACTCCACACAATAGCTTCAAGCAAACACAAAGTATATATATATGGTACGAGACCACCGAATGAATGATATCAATAACGGTGGCTAATCGAACCTAACAACCGTGTGAATACAAAGTTTTTGGCTGTTTCATCATGTTAATGGTACGGTGATGATATAATGTCTCATCCCGATCAAAAAAGCTTTCAATCCTTGCGACGATGAATCCTTCCCGTGGCTCATCGCGTCGTATACTAATATGGTCAATACCTTGGCAGCTCTGTGAATGAGACTTGGCGAGTTGTGTGTATTCGTGATAATAAGAGAGAGAATTGAAAAGCGGTACAGCGCCAGGTGTGGGGAGCGCTTAGAGGTCACCGATGGGTATGTACGTACATGCGGTGCACGTCTTGGTATTGGTTTGTTTGTATGAAAAGCGTTTCGTATGGAGTGTTGTACGGTGTTGCGATATTTGATGTTGTATTGTGTAATTCGTGTGATATAAATGGACTGTTTGGATTATGCGCTCTTCATGCAATGCACGGGCGCTTGGCTCAAATAATAGAGCGCCCGCTTCGCATGCGGGAGGTAGGGGGATCGATACCCTCAGTGTCCAATCTTTACCGCAACTCAGCTGCCTGTTGTCACACACGGATGTGGTGTCTTACACACCTGAAATCGACATGGCCGATGTATTTTCCCCCTATTCCGAGAATTCTGTTGTCTGCGTATGTATGGGTATCTGCTGTCGGTCTTCTAGATATAGATAGACAGACACGTGATACCTGACGCATACAGTGTAGACTGGTATGACAATGGGGATGGCTACAAGCAAACACCAATCATGCATACCTATATATCATACGAGAATGAAAGAGTGACTACAAACTTGGTTGAGTGGCTACTCACACTAATGCGAAATAGTGATTTGAGCCTAAACCAGCTTAGTACTTGTTACAAAAGCGAAAAAAAAATCCAAAAGGGTCGATTTCGTCCTGTCACCCAAATGGAATACTGACATATGTAAACAAGGATCATACTTTGCCAACATTTTGGGATAATACACACAACAAAACAATTTGGATAGATCTAGCGTTGATGATGGGGCAGCGACGGCGCTTCGATATCAGTGCTTCCTGTTTATGGTTACAGGTTAAACAACGGCCTTTGACTGTGACCTGACCAACATTGGACGAGCTTAATGCAGTTTACGATTATGTGTAGGATTATTCATGGAGCGCAGAGGGCCACTCTTCTTCCCTGCCGCCTACTGGACAGCCAAATGCGAGCGCCTCGAGAGGAAGATACTCGACATTGGTCCTTCGTCAATATACTTTAGTTACTGGAGGTTGATCTCAGTCCTTCGTCGGTGGACTCTCGATCTCGATTCTTAGAGGTCGACGACCAAAAATCTTGTGGTCCACTGTTAGAAAGCCTTAATGAGAACGCTAATGGAGCTCTTGACATGGCTGGTCAATTCCTGCCAGAGCCAGTACTTTCTCCTGGCGGCGAAGCTAGAGCATGCGGACTATGCGTTGAATCCGCTCTTGGATGTTGTGATCCACCCAGTGGCTGCCTCCATGGTGCTACTGCATCGTCGTTAGGTAAATAACCTCAGCGAACGCAATCTAAGTGACCACCAAGGCTGTAAAGTCGATTGCGACCAGCATTCAAGCTTCGTCGACTCTTAAGCCTTGAACCTCTTGAGATCTTCCTTCTGTTTCTTCGCCTGGTCTGGATGACGATACGGCAAGTGACGATAGCGAGGTGGTCCGTATGACCCTAGCTCGGTCGCGGCCTTTAAGTTGACGCTTTGCATTAACAAGTCAATCGGTCCCAGCTGCCTCGGCCGCTTGAGTCCCACGACCTGTTGCTCTCCCGAGTCCATCGTTCATCCGGGCCATGTTCGGGTCCTCCGACTCGGAGACCAAATCAGTTTTGGACAAGAGGGGCCTCGTTACGGTCGCGAAGGCAGACTCATATCCAGGTGAGGTGTACACGCTTCTGAAGATGAACGTTATCCCTAGGCATATGCAAGTGAAATCGTGCACTGCCGCGGAAGTGGCGCCTTGATCGGTCGACCTGGTCAACTCGTTTAGTATCGTGACGATGACCCTAGTGACTTAGACAACCGCCTGGAGCTGCTTTAGGGCTGGTTTGGTCTCCCGGATGGGAAAGTAGATCGACCTTCCAAGTGGAAGCCGTCACTGGTCAGCGCTTCAATAATCCAGACCCTCCTAGTCACCCGAACAAGGCTGTCAGCACGAGTCTCGCTTGACCCCACTTGTATCGTACCAGCATGTGGGCTGGTTTGCGAAACTGGAGGCGGCCTACATGCGCTTCGACGAAGACCACAGACAAGTATTTTGGGAGCAACCCACTGCCTGTGGATCTCTGGAGACTAACCGCGCGCCAGCTCCTTCCTCTCGTCGTACAATAATGCGCGGAAGAAACGTCGTGGTCGTGAACTTGGGCGTGGCGAGGGGTCGCTGACATGATCTCGAAGGAATGAATGACGGCCGATTCGACGTCGACACTCTAGTCGAACCCTTCTTCCGACACCTTCCCCGAACATGCTGCGTGGTCTACTGTTTTCGAGGCTGTAAGGTGGGTCTGATTCCGCCAATTTGCTGAAATCTCTGTAAAACTCCGACTCCACAGACTCTTGGATCACTCAGTATCGGCTTTCGTCGGAGCTTCATCCCGTAAAGTCAAGGTCGCGCATCCGGAACGAATTTTTTCCACTTCTTAGGCTTTTCACTTGAATGTACTTGCGTTCATTGCCTTCTTAGTTTTCGTCATACACATGTACTTCGTTAGACCTTTAAACTTCATGTCGGTTCCTTTTTTTCATTAATTTAAAATCCTAGGTCTTCCAATGATAGACCGGGGCCAACCTCAAACGGCAAAGGTCGACTAGCGATAGACCAGGGCCGACCTCGAAAGACCGAGGTCTACCAATGATGGATCAGGGTCAATCATCCGAAGGCATCAGCGTCTACCACTGGTCCTCATTACTTTGCATCACTTCGAAGCGATTACCTTATGGCCTCTTGCGCTCGAAGTCCTCAAGGAAATTTCCACAATTCAAATCCACTCTTATACTCATGAGGGGCCTACATACTCT